GATTTGACTTGATAGCCTTAACAAGATACAGAGTTAAAAATATGGTAAGAAATTAACTGCAATCAAATAGCCAAACCTTGGATAAGATTGTCTTGCTTTAAGAAGATCTCTCTAAGTCTGCTTTGCCCACAAGGATTGTATTTGAGATTGAATTTGTCAAATCGATGGAAGGTACTCTTATCAGCATGAACATCCAACAAATCCACATTCAAATCATACCTACAGTGATTCACAAGCATTACGACAACTGAGAGCATAGGACAGTAGAAATAATTGAATTTCTGATAGATAGAGACCAATAGTAGTAATTCATACCCACTCAAGTCCAAACTCTCAAATACTTCCTTAAGTGTCATGTACTTTCCATCTCTAAATATAACAACCTGAGAAAAAGAAGTAATTAGCAAGTAAGGAGAAGCACCAATACATAGAACTGCCTTTATTGTGACTCATTTTCTAAGGTAAAAAAATTAAGGCTTAATCAACAAGCTAATATTTAGAAATATAAGGGGGTTAAATATATACCTCATCAGGTTCTTTTCTCAGTTTTGACTTGATGAAACGCAGAAGATGCTTCTGGTTCATACAAGCAGAATGATGCACATGTGTATCCACCTTTCGGATGTTATAGAAATCACGATGAGGGGCACCCTTCTGAGCCAAAAATTCCTTATCTGCCTTTACTAACAAATGGAGCCGGAATTTCTGTGTATTTTCCAAATACAAGTTATAAAAACTGTCCAAATTGTGTCAAGACAAACAAGAACCTAAAAGGTTTGATTAACAATACCTCCTCGAGAAACCGTAGCCTGTGGTGGCATGCAGAGCGAACATTTCCAATAGACATAATTCTCAGAATGTGATGCATATCAGTAAAAAAAGTGGTTGAATTTGCGACAGGAAAAAGATCTACAGTATCTGAAAGAAATTCACAGTTGACGTAAGTAATCAATCAAAAAGAGTAATCATATATCAGCAATCATCACATTGCCATTTTAAATAAAGGGATAGATTGCCGTTCCAAAATTTACAGATGCCTTATTATATAATCTCCTAGAAAAAGCCTAAGCTAAGTTAAAAATGGCATAATATAGAACAATGTTGTACAGTTAGGGTAGAATTCTATGCTTGATTCATGGTTGTTTCCAGGACCTACCATTTTCAAAGTATTGATTTTAGCTTAATAAAGTTTATATGAAAACACAATCAAGTTCTACATAGATAACAATACTTTATTCACTTTCGTTCTGCTTGATATGCATCTGGTGTTTCTGCTGCAATTATTTGCTTATGTTTGGGCATCCTTCTGCTACAGCTGATTCCTCACACTCATATTGTAAAGAAGATGATTTCAAGCCTAAAGAACTATTTTCTTTCTGGTGCAACCTGTAGTAAGGAGTATGTAGCCTTAATTCCAACAGTATTATTTAGCACATGTAGCTCTGTATAGAGGTCCAACATAAATTAACTCCTTGAGTGGATAAATATGATATCTTCTTATTTGGTGGAATATTGTTACATGTATTTCCAGGTATAAGCAGTAGTTTAAAGTAATTAGAGATTACTAACACCACAACATGAGTTACTATGTAGTACCTACCATTTTCACTTGCATAAACGTGTACGACTCCATCCTCCATCCTAAAGTGATGCTGCATGAATGAAAAAATTAGCATCCAAGATTAGATTAACAAAATTAATGAAGGTGCCACTTGCTTACCATAAAGCAACTCCTGCCCCAACTGTATCATGTTCAAAGTTGAAACAAAACTTCTCATTTCTAAATACAATTAAAAAGCAAAAATAACTCACTGTACTTGCTTCAACAGGTTCAAAGTGAAATGGATCAATCTTCACTTCTGATGCATAAGGTTCAGGGACAGCTTCCTTCAACCATGGAGCAACTTCTTCAGTATAAACATAACTTTTTCGCAGATCCAAACACTCTTGAAGCATTTTCCGCACTTCCTCATCTTCTATGGTTGTTGACTCTAAAAAAAATAAGTTCCAAAACAAGGTTTGTCAAGCATGTTTCCTCAAATTTAAATTTCAAGAAAATTTGAGAACAACCAAACCTAGACAAAGGTCCAGCGAAATTCTCAAAGACTAAAAGTTGAAATACCATGCAATGTAGTTCTCAGAGGCAATATTACATTGGGCAAAGTAGTATCATGCCCTGTTATCTGTGCTGAAGCCGTATCTACCTTTCCCCTGCCATGCACATCGATACCAGGTTTCACTACATTTATACTAGCTCGACAATTTTGATCTTGAACAAAGTTCACAAGATCAGTTCTGAATGGAACAGCAGAAGAATTTTGAATTTTAGAATCAACATCCTGCAAATCCATTTGCAAAAAGATATTGCATTAATTACGAAAGCTTCATTTTCAAATTCCAAAAGTAAAACAATTGGCTATCAATATGTTTCCGGCAAGGTGACAATATCATTTATGTCTAGTCAAATATAGTAGCATCAGGCTAGGTAACAAATAAAACTATAATTTTTCCGTTTAATATAAGTAATAATACACGTATTCCAAACAAGGAGAATGAAGTATTAAAATATGCTAATAAAAGTAATACTACGCGTATTCCAAACAAGCAGAATAAAGTATTAAAAATATGCTTCAACAAATCTCTCGCGAGAAAAAAATATATAAAGTCTGAAACCCCTTATAAGCATCAGAAACCTGCAACATCTGTTCCCTAAATTTACATGAAGTAGTGTTGTATGGTTGATATAACATCTGAAACAATTCCATAAACTAAGCATAAGTATACCAAAATAAAATGTATGCATGTTGAGCATGAAATACTAAAAAGAAACCACACATGAACATACATTCATAAAATTAGCAGAAGAATCAATGTCCTCATAGCTGTAATCCATATCATCTTCATTTGCAAGCTCTGTACCGTCATCCTCAGAATCCTCAGCATTTTCAAAGCCACTGCCTCCGGGAGATCTCGGAGTCCGTAGAATGCCAACAGATGCCAGCCTTGCACTGGAACCACCGCGATTAAAAGGCTGATCCTCCCCTGCAAAAAGAAAAATAAAAAAACAACATAACTTATTTGCAAAAACATCTAAACATAACGAAGGCAATTAAAATTTTCCACGAATTTGCAACCCTGATATAACGTTACATTTAATTCATCGCAGTTTAAAGGAAATAAAACGCATGGCATACCAAGTCTATGTGATGTTTGCAGGGGCGGAAGTCCAGAGGGAATGAAATTGAGTTTATCAAGCGAAGAAGCGGAGCAATTCTGTGCCCTAACCCTAATCGCCTCATCAAACTTAGCATCTTCTTCTAACCAATCATTTCTCACAGACACATTTGGCAACGAAGAAGACATGGTATTCTTATAACGTCGAAGCATGCTGTCCTCCAACGACCTCGACTCACGATTCTGCTGTCTTGTCATCCCATCTCCATCAGAATCATATCCTCCCTCGCTATACTCTTCTTCTTCGTTTTCTTCTTCGTAGAAATGGCCGTCGCGGTTTTGAGGGAGTTCGCGGCGGATCTCGATGAGACGATCAAGGACTTGGTCGACACTGCGCTTGTGAATGAAGAAGGCCGAGATGGCCATCAAGGAGGCTCCGACGAGAGCCGCCATGGCCAAGTGTAAAGAGGAAGCTGAAGATGATGAATCCATGGGAGTGAAGATAAAACCCTAACTGCTATAATGTGTGCGGGGTTTTTATACGTATGGTCTTGGTGGCGAGACTGAGCAGTCGTCAAGTGAGTGGTTTCTAGTGTCGGAAATGTCTAAAGTCATTTCAGCGGGCTTTTGATGGACCCGTTGACAGACACATGTACATACAACTTTTGAGGTTTCAGGTGTTGGCGACTTGGCGTCACCTTGAAACCCGAGGAAATTTAACTCATCTTACCTCCCAAGTTTGCATTTAAAAAACATAACCCTTCAAAACTGATGCCGCACACTTAGATTCATTAAACATATAAAACGAGTTAAACCGAAAAGGTTTAAATATATGTTGGTAATATTATAATTAACAAAAAAATTTTTAAATTTTAAAAATAAAAAATGACCCCCTTCCTTCAAAATCACTTAATTGAGCAATATAGTCAAAAAATAACTGACGAAACACCTTTGATTTCTCTACGATTTCCGACGATAAAAGTTCCCTATGTTCAACCAATTTTTGATTTTAAATATTCGTTACACAAAATCATGGCTGATATTCATAAAGAGGAGGAAAACTCAACACCACTCCAAATCCTAGACTCTAGCTGCTGCAGCTGTTCAAAGGCTATCGAAGAAGACGCTCTAGTGGATCATCCAATGAGTCAAGGCGGTCCAGAGGTAGAGGAGACAACGGCGGCACAAAAACAGAGAAAAGAATCAAAAAATAGTTCTGAAGAAAAGGACGTCGACGAGAATTCAGGCGAGGAAGAGGAGGCCGATGAAGAAATTGTACGTTTTTTACTGGTGGTTTTGAACTTGATGAATAATTTGATTGGTTTGTGCGAATTTAGAGGATATGTAGATTGTTTTATTGTTGTAGTGGTTATGGTGTTTTGTCGAGCAGTTGGCGAGCATCGGGGGAGCGGCTTTGTTTGGGTTCCAAAGGATGGAGGAAGGCAAGGGAAGCCGTATGGAGGTTGTTTCTGCAGCCCTCCAACCCCCCTATTCTGCCACCTTCTGCCACATTTTGCCATGCTAAATCATCTCCGGTCATGGAACCTGCCACAACAGCCTCTGTAGGGCCTGCATTGGCTTCCCCGGTCCTCTCGATGCCAAAAACACCCACTCCCCGATGCCCTCGAAGCCCATATCCCCCAAATTGGCAGCCTATTGGTTGTTTTGGTTTCTTTTCTTTGCTGATATTTAGTATTTTCTTAAGCATAAATTATAAAGACTATGGGTTGGAGGTTGTAAGCGATAACATACCGTACTTCCTCGTAAGGGTGATAGTTACGTCAAGTTGACAAGTTTTTATGAGAATAACAAAGATTTTAGAGGAACAAAAAAAGGGTATGGACCGATTCAAAGAGAGTTGTTTCGGTCATTTTGCAGCCATCGGAGAAAATTGGAAAAATGCGTTCTGAGGGCAGGGAGTGGATTATATGTTGCTGCATTCAGTTAAAAGCCAAAAAAATAAAATTTGGTTCGTGGTGGATGGGAAGCCATTACGTTTCGGGATGATGAAATATGCCCTAATGACAGGCTTAAGATGTGGGGCATTTCCAGATGCGGAAGAGCAAGAGAGAATAACGAAGAGTAAGGAAACCGATAAGTTGGCTAAAAAGGTTTTAGGGGGGAAGGCGTCTATTACGGAACACGATCTAAAGGAGAGGTTAGGAGAATGTGGGTATACCTCTTCAGAGAAGTTCAAGATGTACCTAGAATGGTTCGTGCATTCAATCTTAATGGCTTCTGACTCAACAAAAGTTGTTAATATGGATTGGGTGAAGTTTGCAAGCAACATGGACTTCTTTAATGCTTATCCGTGGGGACGGTTATCATTTCAGCTAACCATCGAGTCCCTACGTGGGAAAGACAAGGCGATAAAGTATCGCCAAGCTATCGAGAAGAATAGACCGAGCACGTACAATTTGTTTGGCTTTCCATGGCTATTCAGGTAAATATTAATAGTTTTTTGTTATACTTTTTGTATTATATGTGTTTTAATTATGATATGGACTATTTTTTTACAATGTAGGCTTGGATGTATGAGGTCGTTCATGTCCTGGCTGGGAGGGGGGAGGAAGAAGACTTCGGATGACCGATCGCAATTTCTTAGGATGTTGAGGTGGCACATCGAGAAGTGTACCAATTTGGATTACGATAAAATAGACATGGAAATTCAAACGGCTTGGGTAAGATTAAAGGATTAATCTTTTGAATATGCACTTGCTTTTAAATATGGCTTAAATTTGATTGATTTTTTTTTTTATTGTAGGGAGTCACCCGTCCCTTCCTCACCCCTACTAGGGGTAAAGTAGGAGATGAGTATGATACATCGTTTAAGCACTAGATGATGTAGCAAATGAAGAGATAGACCACCTAATGCGGGACCTAGAAGGGGGCACGCATGTGAGTGCAGTTGCAAGGTCACTGCTTAACAATGTTGTTGAGGCCGAAGATGATGAAGCTCCAATCGACGAGAGGGAGGAGGATGAAGAGTTTCATATGCCTCCACCCAATTGGCAAACCCGTATAACAAGTACCGCTTTGTCAAGGCGTCGAGGTTGAGAGAATGAGGTGGTTGACCTCATAAATGGTCTGTTTGAGAGTTTTTCAACAACCATTTGTGAGAGATTTGAGAAGATGGAAGAGCAGATAAAAAGGTGGAGGAGAAAGTTGACAGAGTGGCGGAGAAAGTTGATAAGGTGGCAGAGAAAGTTGGTAGGGTGGAGGAGAAAGTTGGTGGGGTATTGAAAGTGGTTGAAGTGCAACCTAAGCATAAAAGAGAGAGCCAAAAGAGTAAGCACGTAAAATCTCCTTACACGGTAGTAATGTATGGAAAGAAGAGGAAAAAGAAGAAAAAAATGAGGAAGTTTGTGAAAGTGGAGAAGCAAAAATGGAGGAGGGTAAGGAGGAAGGCGGAGGAAGTGGGGAAATGAAACAAGAGGAGGGTGAGGCGGGACGCAAAGGAAGTGGAGAAGTGAAAATGGAGGAGGGTGAGGCTGGATGCGAAGGAAGCGGGGAAGTGAAAATGGAGGAAGGTGAGGCGAGACGCGAAGGAAGTGGGGAAGTGAAAATGGAGGAGGGTGGGGAGGAAGGCAGAGGAAGTTGGCAAGTGAAAACTGAAGAGTCAAAGGTCGAATTGTATAGGCCAATAGATGAGGAAAATAAAAAACTTTTATATTCCTATTACAATGATTCTAGAATTGATGGGCGTGTGAAGTGCAAGACCGAGGATTATCCTCGAGAGTGGTTTGAAAAGATGCTGACAATGGGTAGGTGGCTTGACGAGTCGGTGAGCTATTTTCCCTAGTTTTTCCTTATTTTTGCTTATATTTTCCTTAAGGTATTGTATACTTATCATGTTGTTTTTATTTGATGCAGCACATTGATGAGGTATTGACACTTATAAGGCCATGACAGAGCAATAATGGTGATATTTTGTATAAAACTTACATGATACAATTGTTCTATAAGTTGATTCTAATGCTAATGTCTTCCTCCTATTATAATGCTGATTGCGAGGCATATGCACTAAAATTTATTGAGTTTGATATGACCAACACCCCAATGGACAGGTTGAATGATGAAACAATGAGCAACTTTCAAGAGCGGTTGGCTGTTGAGTGCTTCGATGGGCATATGGATCCCTTTTGACTGACCAAAACCCAATCCAAGTCATTGTTGATGTTGTCATCAAAAGGTATGGAAGTTGAACTTAGAGTTTTGTAGTTTATGTGAAATGCAGTTCTTATAGGGTTGTCTTGAATAATTGGATTGTCTTTAATTAGATCAGCTAGTGTTGTTAGGCGTCAAGCTGTTGATACTTGGGTTGTGGTGTTATGTATGCTTTGTGGCCAAGGCTGGATAATGTTGGAAAGGGTGCTGTAAAAGAAGACAAAGAGGCTGCTACCGATATTGAAGGTGTGCTGGATAATTGTGGAGGATGGGAAAGTAGTTGAAGAGAATGATGAAAAGGGAGGATGGAGGCTACTGACGCTGCTTTTATTTTAGGTGTATATAGGATATTTATTTGTTGTATATAATGTTGTAATTTAATGTAATTAACATATTTCACATTTGTACAAAAGCAATTCAGTATTTATTTCCCTCTTTTGAGTTTGAGTTTATTTAGTATTCTTGTTAAATGACATTAATGTGTTGATGCAATTAGGTTGTCAAATTCAAGAGAAAAGCTAGAAAAAAATAAGTGTTGCCCATGATCGCTTAAGCAACTATATATATCGCTTAAGCGATCAAGGGTTTTCTATATAGGATCACTTAAACGAGACTATAAATCGTTTAAGCGATTGTGCATTTGGGATGATCTTGATTCTGTCTTGGACTTGATCGCTTAAGCGATCCTAAATCGCTTAAGTGACCAAGGCTAAAAGTGAAGAATCGCTTAAACGATCGTGCATCTAGGATGATCTTGATTCTGCCTTCGACTTGATCGCTTAAGCAATCAAGGCTAAAAGTGAAGAATCACTTAAGCAAGACCCTAAATCGCTTAAGTGATCGTGCATCTGGGATGATCTTGATTCTGCCGTGGACTTGATTGCTTAAGCGACCAAGGCTAAACATGAAGAATTGCTTAAGCGATCATACATCTGAGGTGATCTTGATTCTACCTTGAACTTGATCACTTAAGCGATCCTAAATCGCTTAAGCGACCAAGGCTAAACGTGAAGAATTGCTTAAACGATACATAAATCGCTTATTCATATTATTATTTATTTTTTTCTATTTTTCTATTTTTAAATAGCATCTCTTATTCATATTATTATTTAATTTTTTTCATTTTAATTATTTATTATTTTATCATAAATTCATAATGGATTCTCGAAATGATGCATTCGAAGGATCATCCCCGAACGAGTTTTACGTTCCATCCACCGAAGAAATGGAAGGGTTCAATCCATTTTCACCCTTTCCTCCAGAGGCAGCAACTGCAATTCAACAACCACATTTGGCTGGGACGAGGTGCATCCAAACACAAGCAAGTTGCGACTCAATGGGCACGGGCATGGCCCAACCCCCCCGACCATCAAAGAGGGCCGTGTCCGATGTATGGCGACACTTCACCGAATCAACATGGCCAAAGACAAATTGGGAGGGGGATGAATCGTGTGGGGTATGTAATTTATGTGGAACCATTATTGGCGCTGAGAAAGAGACTTCGACGATGCGACGACACTTAGAGAAAAAGCACCCTCAAATAATGCAGTTGTCCGGTAAATCTTCAACTAGATCAGGTAGGCAAATTCAAACTAAACTTAATTTTAATTCA